CAGAGCACATACATGTGCACATGTGCACACACAAATTAAGTCTGCCTTGTTAACATTAACATACCATTGGGCAAAGTATTAGGATTTTAGGTCAGACAAAAAACATCACTAGCCAGGGAGAAAAAAATATATTCACATATTCACTTTTTGGATTTATTTCATTCCTTTTTCTCTCTGCTCTGATTATCCCCTCCAGGTATTCAGTATCAAGATATGGAGTATACTTTCTTCCCAGCTCCACCAACTTCAGACTGGTTGTTTGTGAACCCTAAGCCCAACAGTGTCTCACAGATCCTAATTTTTTTCAGTCGGGCCTGGGTCTATTTAAAATTCCTTATTTCTGAAATGTTCCTGTTTTCCCAGTATGCTGCCTCATCACTAAATACCTGAAAGCTCTAAAGAAATCTTAGAATAGCGCTTTTTAATTTTTAGACATGTAAAGGAAGGAAACAAAATACAGAATCATGGGGCTGGGCGGTCAAGAGCTTGCAGTGCACAGAAGACTAAGGCTGGATGCCAAACACCTGTGCCAGGCAGCACACAGTTCCCCTCTCGAGACCCAGTGCCCTCTCTGGACTCTGGTGCACCTACACACACACACACACACACACACAAAGGAATTTACAAGTGCTAAAATGGTGAACTGAAGCTAATGTTTTGAGAGATGGCTCTCGGGGGTTATCTGAGAATTAGGCTAGTACACGTAGGTTTGCCTGTTAAATAGCTATTGTGTCCCACTTGGTTTATCCTCAAAAACATGTCTTTTTAACAGATCATATCTGAAGATATTAGTGAGCTACAAAAGAATCAAACTACCACTATGGCCAAGATAGCACAGTACAAGCGGAAGCTCATGGATCTCTCCCACAGAACCTTACAGGTAATAATGTGGAATTCCCCCAGTGTTTATAAGAGGTCATAAGTGAAATACATGCCAAATAGGACTTATTTAAACAGGAAAAAGACCCAAGTTGGAGGGTTGATTCTACAATAAAAATTTGGAAGGAAGATCCTACAGGGTGAGAAATAAGGGTAAGAATATTCTTAAAGTTCCCCTTAGTAACGAGGGGTCATAAACAGTTTTGGTGCAGGGAAGATATAAATCAGCGACTCCTGGCTCCATAAAGTATAGAACATATTTTAGTGCCAGGGAGAGAATGTGGCCATGAGTGACATTAAACCAGTCACCACTTTAACAGACTGGGACAGCAGCAGGAGGGGAAATCATAAATTGTCACGAGAACAATTGCTACAGACCAGATTCAAAAGCCTTTGTCAAAATACCAAATAAAAATCTGAGCTCACTGTTAAGAAATTTTAGAAATATAAAGGTAAGCTTGACACCTGTAAGAGAAAGGTGAAAAACAAGCAGTACATTCAGAGTAGCTGTGGACAGACGAAAAAAGCTGATCTGTGGACGGCCATCAGAATGAATAACCCTCTCAGAGGGAAACGTCCAACCAGAGAAACTGCCCTAAGTAGTAAAAGATGGTATGCATCTTTCAGATTTGAAACCCAGGGGAGATAGGGGATTTTCTCTAACAAATAGAGATCACCAAAAGTAATGTACAGCAAGTGAAGGAGCTGGTAATAGTCAGAGAGTAGAGGGAGAGTTACTAAAGTCCACGTGGAAACCCACAGTGTAGCTAATTTCATTGTTGAATTTTGTCTTAAGTAATAAAAAGCTAATTTTTGTGTTACTTTAATCTTCCTAAAGCAAGGAAAAATATTTATGGCTTTTTTCCTCTTTGAACAATTTCATTGAGGTATAGTTCATATATCATACACTTACCTCACTCAAAGGATATGATACACCGTCTGTGTGTTTTCAGTTTTAGGATATTTTTGTCATTCTACAGAGACTTGCCATGTCTTTCAGGAGCCACTCACCCATTTAACCCGTATAACTCAGACATTGTCAAGATGCTCACTTGACCAGAAAGCTTTACAGTGAAATTGACTAGATCTGGGTGTTGTGGTGCGTTCCTGTAACTAGCACTGTGGACACAGCTGGGATTAGCTGTGGTACATTTTATACAAAGATATTTTCTTTAATAAGAAAATATAATTGGCCGGGTGGTGGTGGCGCACGCCTTTAATCCCAACACTTGGGAGGCAGAGGCAGATAGATCTCTGTGAGTTCGAGGCCAGCCTGGTCTACAAGAGCCAGGACAGGCTCAAGCTACAGAGAAACCCTGTCTCGAAAAAACAAAGAAAGAAAGAAAGAAAATCTAATTGGAATGTAGGCAGATAGATAGAAGCACTTCAGTGTAAGCATAAAGCACTAAGACGGTTTTTCCTTCTTTTTTACTGTTTGAGGCAGGGTCTCAGCTATGCAACCTAGACTGGCCTGGAGCTCTCCTTCGTCAGGCTGACCTCAGCCTTTTCCTCATGCTTTAGCCTCCAAGTGCTAGGATTTCAAAGTATCCCATATCCCATGTTAGTTCTCAGCCAGTGTCTATCAGCAAGTCCATAGTTGATTTTAAAAAGTAGTCTACTGGTTCGTACCGGTGTCTTCTCTTTTACAGGTCCTAATCAAACAGGAGATTCAAAGGAAGAGCGGCTACGCAATCCAGGCTGATGAAGAGCAGCTGCGGGTTCAGCTAGACACTATTCAGGGCGAACTGAATGCCCCTACTCAGTTCAAAGTAAGCACTTGGTGGTCAGTATGGCTAGAGGCTGCGTGGGGTAGCTGAACAGGAACGTGTAGCAGTGTGTCTTAAGCATTTATTTGCACTGATTAGAACTTCTGAAAATAAATTCCCAGTCGCGGTACTTTTGGCTTGCATTAGTGCTTCAAATCAAAGACCTGGGAGTTTTAACTGATGGTTTGAAGCTATCATTTCAAACAGCCGTCTTCAGTAGTAGCTGTGATTGTTAGCACTTGTCTCTGGCTCATTTTTAGGGTCGACTAAATGAACTGATGTCCCAGATCAGGATGCAGAATCACTTTGGAGCTGTGAAGTCTGAAGAAAGGTATTACATAGATGCGGACCTCTTACGAGAAATCAAGCAGGTGAGCTCAGCTTACAGCTTCATACCCATCAGGATGGCTGTTGTTCAACAGCAGAAATACTCGCTCGTTAGAATATGGAGAAGTTGTAACCTTCAGGCACCTTTAAGTATCATAAAATATAAAAAACATTGCTTCCTCAAACAAAAGTAGTTGGGCATTGGGTACGTATGCCTTTAATCCAGCACTTGGGAGGCAGAGGCAAGTGATCTCTGAGTTCAAGGCCAGCCTGGTCTACAGAGCAAGTTCCAGAACAGCCAGGACTACACAGAGAAACAACAAAATTGAAAGTAGAATTGCCATATTATTTGGCAGTTCTCCATCTGTTTTGAGAGACAAAGTCTCAGTATGTGACCCTGGTTGGTCTTGAACTCAGAATCTGTCTGCCTCTGCCACTTGAGTGCTAAGATTCAAGGTATAAGCTACCATGCCCAGCTTGTAGTTGAAATCAGGGATCTGCAAAGACATTTATACACCTATGTACAAACACATATAGTGTAGTATGACTTCCTCCTAAAGAGGAGGAAATTCTGACACATGCAACAAATGGTAGACCTTGAAATATGTGGTCATACAAGGACAGGTACTGTATGATTCCCCTTCTGTGAGGCAGAGTGCCCAACGATGTGAATGTACCCATCTCTGTACACTGAAAATGCCCACATATTGTTATGCCATAGTAACTTCAAACGTCCTCCCTCTAGAATCTGTCCACATAATAGATGTGTCAAAGGGTGGGCAGTGGAGTACTCAAGTCAGTGGGAAGGTCAACTGCATTTTATTGTAATCTAGAATGATCTGTCTGTGTATTAAATTGAGAAGCTGGGACTGGGGATGTAGCTCAGTTGGTAGAGTGCTTGCCTGCTATGCATGGACCCCTGGGTTCACTCCCCAGCACCACAGCAGTGGACAGTGCACATCCACTGTCCAGTCTAAAAACCCAGAGAACACATCTAAAGACATGGTAGACACACGTGCTGGTGGTAGTTGTCTGGCTGCATGTTTGTTGTATATAGTCGCTAGTGCTGTTTTGTGGGTAGCACACTGATGTTTTATTTTCTTAATTCATTCTAGCATTTGAAACAACAGCAGGAAGGCCTTAGCCACTTGATTAGCATCATAAAAGATGACCTAGAAGATATAAAACTAGTAGAACATGGATTGAATGAAACCATCCACAGCAGAGGCGGTGTCTTTAGCTGACCATTTACAGACGTGTTCAGAGGTTCATAAAGCGCATCTTGCTACATCAGGCCTTCCGTACGATGACCACATGGATGGGAAAAAGAATCCTTTTCCTTGCTGGCATGTTTGAGGTTCCTGAGAAATCACTGTACATTAAATCTGAAATGGACACCACAAAGCTCTTCAAAGAGAATCTGAAAATTTTTTATCTAAAAGCTATATTTACTTAAAAGTACACGATTATGCAGAGTATATGCGCTGTTGTACATTGTACAGCAGCACTGAGCATGGTCACGGTGTGTAAAGGTTATTCTCCAGTCCCTTTTTCCATAGTGCAAAATGAAACATAGCTACTTCCTACATAACAAAATAAACCGTAACTACATGCTGCGGGGACTGTGCTTCAGAGTTAAATGCATATCTGCATTTTATATCTGTGAGATCAGCAGTGGGAAGTAAAGAAAATCCCAAAGTATTTAATGATTTGTGTGGTTTTCCTTTTGTTCTATGAAGACTTGAAGATATATTTTTATATTATTTTACTTATTTGGAACTTAACAGAACATACCTAAACAATTAGGATTTAACAAAAATCACCATTTTTGCAAACTTTTTATTTCTAAAAATGAAATTTAAAATAAATTGTTAATTTGCAGTTTTATGTAATTCTGTCCTCTGGTGTTTTATTTATGGACTTGTCATATTTTGACTAGAGTATAACAAGTGAAATCATGTAGGATGAAGAGCCTCATGTTAACATCTGACAACAGTGGCTGAGTATGACATCATAGGACTCGTCCACAGCCTGCCAGTTTTAAATACAACTCTGACTGCAGGACACACCTGGGCCGCAGGTGTTGACACCTCTGCAGATGCTGTGACTATGGTATGTTTGTGCTTTGTATGTGGTGCTTTGGTTTACACCGGGGGCCGTTGCGAGAGAACACGGTGAATTTTGCTGTTGTACTACCGAGTGGTGGGGGAAGGGCTGTGTCTAGACCCCTCATGGAGCAGAGGAGGTTACACTGTAGAGACTGTAAAGCTTCTTTCCAAGTTGGCTGCTAGAATTTTATAGTCGCTACTGCTGAGTGTGCGGCATGCGAACATAACGCCACTCTTCCCTGGTTGTTCCCATCTTATTTCCTGCTTGTTGAGGTGCTAGTGGCTTTGGGAGAAGGTTTTCTTTGCATGCGCTTGTTTTCACTTTGGCTCAAAAGACTGGTCCATTGCCATCTTTGGAGCCAAGTGTAGAAAGGAGTGTCTGGTGCCCTGTGTGCCTTCCATAGAACTAAACGGTGACCACTGAGCACAGGCCCAGTGGTGGATAGCTGACCAAGGATCGCATCCCACCTTTCATGTAAGCACGTTTGGTCAGAAGGAAAAGACAGAAGACAGATACACAGAAGCAAAGTAACAGCTCCCTGTTGGAAGGAAGGGATACCCAAGTGGCCACTTCCTGCCTACAGTTCTCCACTGCTTTGTCTCCTGGGAACAAGAGCCTGCCATCTCTACCTCTATTTATAGTTTTGTTCTTCAGAGAGAAACAGGTATCATTCACATTTTGATTCTGGCATTAAATTCATGTTAGCCACATTAGTAGTGGTCTTTTAATATCCAAAGATTCTACAGGAAAACATTTAATAAACTTAAAACTTTTATTGAATCCAATCAAAAGTATACAGCTTTGGGGTTTTTGCAATCCTAAACTTAAACAGAAATGAGGAGTTAATTCTCTGACACTGTCTGGACCAGCTTTTTAACTGTGAGCCAGGGAACGAATATACAGTTCTTATTTTACAGTGTGTCTGCCCAAGTGAGAAAGACATCTTTTCTCTTGGCCTCCTGTGGGATCTCCATAGCGTCTTCCAAATAAACATTAAGGTGTGATTTCGAGCTAGAGAACAGTGAAGATGCGTACGGCAGACGTGACAACGAGCGCAGTGGATGCCGTGACTGATGGGAGGAGCATTCTGCCAGAAGATGCCGAAGGGTGGCTCCGGGGGCCTGGAGCAGGGGCAGGACCCAGAGCTGTTAAAGAGAACACAGTCATGGACACGTCACTGGTGTGTATGGAGTATCCTCCACCTGTACAGACAGCACAGCCGTGTGGACAGCAGCGGCCGAGTCAGACGCCTACTGAGATACCTGTCAGGTACCTGTTGCACATGCGTGCAGCTTCAAAGTTTTAGGCTAAATTTCTATAGGTATCATCAGGGCATACTGGTCTTGGTTTTGTTTTTTTTTTTCTCAGATTTCACAGGGTTTTCAAATCTATATAGGCAACCGAGACAATTATTTCTTGCTCAAGTATACCAGAATTTCTTAGCAATGTTCTCTTCCTGTGTGCGTTAGATCATACATTGTGTAAAGTTTACCTCAAGTGTCTCCTTTCAAATAACAGTGTGTGTACATTCATACAGATGCCAGTTTCAGCTGGATACAACTGCATTTTTAAAACACAGCCTATAAACTGGCAAAAAAGCTTTCTCCACTACATGGCTTTGGAGAAATCTAGCTTGTTTACTCTGCTTTAAACCTGGGGAACAAGCTTACACTTTGGTTTAAGCAGACTGCATAGGGAAGGGGGAGTTCTCAGGGTTTCTCCAACTGGGATGTGTATGAGACCAGTCAGGTTTCATAATACACGAAGCCAAGAGAAATGGCTGTTAGGGTTTCATATGAGTTTGCTCGCCAGAGTTGTGGAATGCCAGTCACATGGCTAGAGGTGGATTGGCAGCTCACTCGTGCGTCAGGATGCTCTGCAGGTGAGTGACTCTCAAGTGGCCGGTACTGCACCTGAGAGGCACCTAGATGCTGTCCAGGGTAGACTGCAGTGCTGATGGCTGAAGTCAGGTGCTAGCTCTGCCACTATTAGGGGTAGAGCTGAAATGCTTAGGATAGTCTTCAACAGCTAAGCATGAAGCCACCCTCTGCAGTCTTTGTGTGTGCCACCTGACATGTAAATCCAGCACTCACACAATCAAGCGGCCTGCCATAGTAGAAACCAAGTATTTTCTGATTGGTTCTTTTCGAGATAGGATTTCTCTGTGTGGCTCTGGCTGTCCAGGAACTCACTCTGTAGACCAGGCTGTCCTGAAACTCAGAGCTCCTCCTGCCTCTGCTTCCCAAGTGCTAGGATTAAAGGACTGTGCCGCCGCCACCGCCTGCTGTTCTGATAGTTTTAATTAACACTAAACAGTATCTGCTTCACTTTGATCTTTTATGGAACAGCTTCCAGTATGCTCCAACCCAAATTTTCATAAGGAATATGTTTATGAATTTAGCATTTATGCATTGAGGCATATAACTATAAAACACAGTCAAAGCATGTCAATTCTTGTATAGGTAAGGTACATCTTACTGCAAATATAACTGCATATAACTATAAAATACAGTCAGAGCATCCAATTCTTGTATAGCTAAGGTACATCTTACTGCAAATATAACTGCATATAACTATAAAATACAGTCAGAGCATCCAATTCTTGTATAGCTAAGGTACATCTTATTGTGGATCTTATTTCAGGGTTGGTGCGGAAGAATTGTCTGTATTCTGTCAATCATGTTTTAAATAAACGCTGATTGGCCAGGCAGGAAGTATAGGCAGGTCAACCAGACAGGAAGTAGAGGCAGGATGATGAGAACAGAATTCTGGGAAGGAGGAAGCCCATTCCTCCCATTCCAGCCCAGACCACTAAGAAGCAAAGGTGTAACCTGCCTGACTGAAAGGTACCGAGCCACGTGGCTAACATAGATAATGGGTGGTTAATATAAGCTACAAGAGCTAATAAGAAGACTGAGCTAATGGACCAATCCGTTTTATAACTTACTGTGATTTTCTTTGGGGCTTGCCAGCTGTGGGGTACTGGGTGGGACAGAAACCCCAACAAGCCGGCCCTCATTACTACATAGGGTGCTGTGAAGGCTTCATGAAATATTTGATTTGAAAAAGGACTGCTTGAGAAAACAATGTTCTATCTAGAGTCTCTAGACAGTGCCTATGTAAAAAAGACTGATGGGTAGGGGCATCTTAGGCATGCATGTACATGCCTACAACTGTCAGCTTTTAATGAGGAAAAAAATTAACATTTTTATATTTGAGCATTTATCGTCCAAAGAATAGGAGGTATTTCTTACTAGGATTGTCAGCATTTCCTTGACGCTTGTCTTCTAGAACATAAAGAGATTGTGAGTTACTGCATTGTACACTTCTCCTGACATGAAAGATCTCATTAAGTTGGAGCAAGCTGCTTCTCCCTTGGGAGTGGGCCTGGGGCCAAGGGAAACTGGTCCAGAGGCATATGTGAGGTTAAAGACGGCTCTGACACATCTGCTCTCTGAGAAATTTCCCCCGTGAGTGTGTGTTTTCATTAGAATAAATGTGAAGTCTATTTACCAACCTTTTTTCTATATATTGAACTCAGATTCCCAGTACAAGCCACCCCGTCTCCCACTTACTGTGTGCCAGTGCATCATGGGAGCACAGCACCACACTGTTATCCTACGGGCAGAGCCAGCACATCAAGGATGCACCAGGTGTCTGCGCCTTCTGAGGTTCGATGTGCATGGAGAATCAGCTAATGCATCCGTGAGGTCAATGTCTAACTTTGACATCTAATTGTGCTGTCCCGCCACCAGTGTGTGGCTAGCCTTGGAATACTGGTACCCATACTTCCATAATTTAGGAGTCCAGGGTGTCAATCTGGCTGTCTGCCCTCACCAGGTTCCTGATCTACCTTGCTGGATTAGATGAGCCTGGCCTTTAAAGGCCTGCACTACACACACAGCTTTCCAGGAGGGGCACAAAACCAGTTGAAGAGAAGACATGCCACAGAAAGGCTGGACCTGCAGGGTGTGCCATGAAATTCTCATTCCCACGCTCCATAGTGTATTCTTGCATCTACACCCTACAGCTCCTGATTTGCTTTGGAATAAAAGTACAGCTGGACACCGCTGTCCAGCACAGGCCACCTGGCCTCTTCTGCAGGTTCTCAGCCCTTCCCCCTTCGACCATCAGGACGATGTTAAAGAACTTAGAATTCCATGAGCCTCCCCACCATGAAGAATTACCAGGTTTATTATCCATCCAGAGAGGATTTTCATCTGGTTCTAGCACTTTAGTTCCTAAATAAAAAAAAAAGAGAGAGATTTTTAGTTAATAAAAATGGCAGCTTCTATTTACTATTTGACTACTGTCAGATAGTTTGTGACATCAGATCCTCAGCCCTGCAAGGTGGAGTCATTCGTACCTTACGATGGCGGGTGCTCAGATAGTGAAGTTATTTACACAAAGTTACCAGAGGCAGAGGGGAACGCAATGCCAGGTCTGTCTACACAGCCCCCATTAGTTCTCCACACTCAGCCAGAAGCTGCTTTTCAGGTGGCCACAGATTAGACTGAAGACCCCGAAGAGCACTGTGCAAACTTAGGCCCAAAGAACGGAAGTGATGTAAGGGGGACACTGCCACTCTGGATCAGTACAAAAGAGCTGCTAAACCTGCTTTCTGTGTCTGTTTTGTAAGTTAACTGTGACGTGCTATTTCTACGTGGCCTACTGTCTTAAGACAGCAGTGACCAACAATGGTCAGAACCATCGATGTGGTTTAGCACGTGCTAAATCTAGGGATGTAGCTCAGTGGTAGAGTACTCATCGAGCATGCATAAGCCTGGGTTCAATCCCACTAAATAATTAAGTGAATAGTTAAACATTTAAACAGATGACCATGCCCATAATTAACAGAATGTACTGGGAAAAAATCTTGTAAATGGCTCTCTGAACCCAGAGGAAGGGCTCTTAAGCACTGGTTGTGGTTTCATACCCCTTACCAATCACTGCTCCTGTGAAGTTGCTATGACAGGTGACAGTTCCGAGCCACAGAGGCATCGTGACTGTTGAGCAAGATGATGTGCCCTCTTGTGTTCTCCCCCATCACCGTGAAGTGCCGAGGGACTTCTAAGCAATCTTCCTGGAGTCCCAGCTCCAATTTCTCATCACCCTCGCCCCTGGCTAGCCCTCCTACTTTTAAAAGTACATGTTTGGTGGTGACATCTGCCATGGTAAATACAGTGGAAGTCACCGAGGCAATGCAAGCCTCAAGGAAGAAACAGTAAAGGGCCCAGTCCTTCACTCACATTTGACTGTGTGCCAAGTTACTGAACCTGGCACGTGTAACGATGACAATGTCTCTATCCTGTGCTGGCATGTTCTGCCGTCTAGTGTGTCTACCGGGCTTACCAGGAAGAAGGAAAGGATCTGTAATATTTTTTCCTAAATAGAAGAATCTAAGCGGCCTCTGGTTGCTCCTGGGTCGTTTCCGACTCCTGGGTCATGAGCACTGGACACCAGCCCCAGGTCCCACTGCACTGTAAGCTTCCGACTTTGGTGTCATCCACACCAAACTTGAGGAGCCTGTGAACAGTGCCTCACTGAGCTGTGCCTGCCCCAGCAGAGTACTGTGTTTTGTTATTTGCAGGGCCCAGAGGAAGCCTGAGCCTGGATACGCAGCCAGTCCAAGCAGCAGAGTGTCTACAGAGCTTCAGGAAGGCCTGGACCCTCTGCAACCAGGTCCCAGCAAGCTGGCCGAGAGCCGTGTTCCAAACAGCTAACTGCCCCGCCCAGAGCCAGTGCCCAGCATCCTGGGAAGGCATGGTGGGCACAGTCTACTCCAGAGAAAGCCTAGCATGACGCCAAAGCAAAACCTTTGAGTACCATCCCATGCTGACATCGTCTGTAATGCTCAGACCAGCTCTGAGTAAAGAGAAAACGGCCTTACCTGGTAGTCCAGTGGAGTCAAGGCTTTCCCTACCTAAAGGCAGAAATAAATGCTGTTGGTGTTTATCAGTTAATGGCACTGCTACCATTCCCCCTTTGTCTCCCACCTCCAAACTTCAAATACGGAAGTCATAAGTGTCACAGCCACAATATGAATTCCAATCCATAAGCCAGATTTCAGGAGCACCTATGATTTAGTTCTCATTGCTCCAAATTTAGCTTCCTAACGTGGTCCATCCAGTTTTAAATGAAGCATTTTAAAATGATGTAGCCCCACTCTCACTGTAGGTATTTGGTCTGACTTTGGAGTTTTTGAGTATGCAAAAGATAGAGCTTGCATTTTATAAGAAGTAAGGATTAATGGGAAAATGTTGCATCTGAAATATTGGTTCACTGAATAGAACATTAAAAAACTCACTCAAAAGTGACATCTGTGCCATCTACAGTGGCTTAATAACCTGATAGCTAGGTCTGATAGAGTAAGAAAGAATTCATTTACCAGGTTAGCCCCTGGCTCGTTATTTCTAAGGCTAAGAATAAGAACTTTCTTGGGGGGGTTGGGGAGGTAGAATCAATATGGGAGCCAATGTCTAGAATCCCAGTTTTGAGAGGTAGAGACAGGAAGATCAAGAGTTCAGGATCATTCTCTACTACATAGGAAGTTGGAGGCTAGCCTGGGCTACATGAGATCCAGTTACAAAATGAGACAAAATATCCATTTTCCACATTAATGTAGATTTACATTGGGCTCTTTTTAGTGAAAGCTTTAAGAAACAACAGGGGACAAAATACAAGAGAAGGGGAGACTCACTAAGCCACCGAAGCTTAATTGATGGTGAGAGCTATGTCTCGTCATTCAGGATCGCATTTCAGGTAAGCACACAGTTCTTCATTAAAGCTAAATCAATCCAGGGCCAGCAAGACAGCTCAACAGGTAGAGACGCTTGCCACCCAGCCTGCTGACCTGAGTCTCTGGAACCCACATAGTAAAAAGGGAACCAAGTTCTGCGAATTGTCCTCTGACCTTCACGAGTGTGCTACATGTGGGTGCCCCATAATGTGGAGGGATTTGATCCCCACTATGATCTTTTTTTTTAAAAAAAAGATATTATAGCCAGGTGATGGGGAGGCAGAGGCAGGCAGATCTCTGAGATTGAGGCCAGCCTGGTCTACAGAGCTAGTCCCAAGACAGCAAGGGCTATACAGAGAAACCCTGTCTCAAAAACCAAAACCAAAGTAAAAAAAAAAAAACAAGATACACACATATGCAAAAAGATTCAAAGTAAATATACCAAAAATGTTACAAATAAATATCTGCGATCTGAGCTTTTTAATTTTTAATCCTTAATAATTTTCCATATTTTTCATTTCTCCAATTACCATGTATTATGTATATGACCAGAAAACATATAAAACATAGATAATGTATATTACACACACATATACAATATAAAATGAAAACTGTCAGAGACTTTGGATAGATTTTCACATTACCATCAGTGTGTATGTGTGTGTCTGGAGGCCTGCATACATGCTAGGCCAGCACTCTACTTAGTGAGCTAGACCATCAACTCTTACATTATTATAAGTGCTTTCTTGTATCTTTAAATGTTTTTTAAAGCCTAATTTCTAGGTTTGGTGTTTAATAATGTTAATATTATTTAATAGTATGCAGCCCACATGAGTGGTTATATCGGAATGTCACAATGTGCTCTGGGTGCCACATAATGCCTTGGGTCTCTGGCCACTTGTCGCTCACCTGAGCTTGGTCAGCTGCTGAGCAGAGCCTCTGAGTCATGGCTTGTCCACAACTGGGTATCTTTCTGACTCCCTGGAGCCTCTTTTAAAGAAATGTAGGATTGCCTGGGGCCTGGGGTGTAGGCCTGCAAATCCCAGCTACTCAGAAGGCAGAGCAAGGTTAAAGGCTTGAACTACAAAATGAGTTCAAGATCAGCTAATCTAATCAGACCCGGTCTGAGGTTTGTTTTTTTGTGTTTGGTTTTTTGTTTTGTGTTGTTGTTTTGAAGACAGGGTCTCTTACCACCTGAAGCTCTATGTAGAGCAGGCTCACTTCACACTCATACTAAACACCTGCCGGTCTCTGCTGGGTTAAAGGTGAGCACCATCATGCTCAGCTCAGACTCTGCCTTCAAGTTCAAAACTAAAGTACAAAGAGGGCGGAGATAGCTCAGGTGAGGCACTTGCCTAGCACGGTGCCTGAGGCCACAGTTCTACACTGGAGTTTCTATGTCCTGGTTTCCGAGTTATAACTGGGTTAAAGGTAGAGTCACTTTTGAGGTTAGTGACACATTCTCTTAGATCACCCGTTAGGAAATCTGTCCCAGGGACTGGGGTGTATCTCAACAATAGTGTGCTTACCTAGCTTGCAGGGGGCCCAGGGTTTGATTCGAGGCACCATGGGAAAAAAGAAAATAGAAAAGTGTTCAATGATCTCTTCAGTAACTTGAGAACTTGTACCCTAGCCCTAGAAGACAATAACATCTTTAGAAAGAGGAACTTTAAAGCTGGGGAGATGACTTGGTGGATAAGGTGCTTGCCGTGCAAGCCTGGGTACCACATAAGAGCCAGGCGGGTGTCACGGCCAGCGTGTAATCCCTGTGGGGGGAGGTAGGGACAGGGGACCCCCAAAACACAACTAGTGAGAGCTTCATGTTCACAGGGAGAGATCCTGTCTCAGTATACAGGAAGACACCTAGTATCAACCTCTGGCCTCCACAGACATGTTCACATGCATGCAGGCTTTCACATATATGTGGGCTTACACATGCACACTCACACAGAAAAACATTTCCATGTGCACATGTGGGTGTATGTGTTCCACTTGCTCACAGAGCCACTGAACTGGAATTTCAGACAGTCATTGTGAGCCACCCGCTCTGAACACTGAGACCTGAACCTGGTTTTCTAAAACAGCACAAGCCATCTCTCCAGCCCACACTTTTTTTTTCCTTTCTTTTCTAATTAAGAACTTTGGAGTAAGTTTTACTTTGGAGCATCCTCATCAAGTGGACATGAGTACACGTGTTACCTGGATCCACATACAAAGAATCCACATTTTAATTTAGGAAAATTAAATGCTATTTGTTTTGTCAACAGGTCTGGATCGTGCAAGTTTGATCCAGAAAACCCTCCTCTGTTTTCTGGGATGACTACAGGCGTGAGTGCTGTGTTTGCTTGTTTGTTTGTTTAAAAAAAAGATTTACTTAGTAAGTATACAGTGGTCTGTCTGCATGCATGCCTGCAGGCCAGAAGAGGGCGCCAGGTCTCATTACAGGTGGTTGTGAGCCACCATGTGGATGCTGGGAATTGAACTCAGGACCTCTGGAAGTGCTCTTAACCACTGAGCCATCTCTCCAGCCCCTGTGTGGTTTTTATAAAGAATTCAATCTGGCTTCTCCCCACCCGCTCACAGCTTGCAAATGTTATGTCCCAGAGTTTGAGAGTGTCTTACCAGAGTCTTCCAGGTTCTGCCCTTCCACATCTACATCACAAACAAGCAAAATGCATCAGTTTTACGGAGAGATCAAAAGAACTCTCAGGGACCAGGAGGCACATCACTGAATGCAAGTGCCACCTAGAGTCTCTATGTATGTGGGCAATGTTGGACACGTCTCCACGGCCTCCACTGAAGTAAAGCACAGAACTAGGCTCCTGGGGTGTCGAGGGGGCAGGAAAACAATGTCTCTTTGAATAGCTGGCTGAGGTCCTATGCAATGGTCAGAATTTGTGACCACAAAGGACCAGTAAGCGGGGTTATAGGCAAGTCCTCAGGGCGTGAGCCAGTGGCTTTGCCTCTGTGGGGACAGGAGGCATCGCCCCAACAGAGAGAAAGTGGCACATTTAAAGGCAAGGTTTTTTTTTTCTCTCTTCAATAAGAGAAATAATCCCAATGCAAAACCAAGAACCTGAATACAGACAATGAGTTCTGAGTCTCCACATGTGGAAACAGAAAAATCAAATCCCCTGTTGGTTTAGATCAAAATGAAGAGGAGACAGAGCAGCACTGTGGGGGGCGCCTCCCAGGTGGGCTTCGCCCCCCCCCCCCCCGCCCCTGTCTTCTGCTGGCCTTTTGTTCAGCAGGCCCTTCCCACACCCCCCAAGGGGGAGGCTGTACAGCTTCACTGTTGCCAACACCGCCTAATCCCTCACCAACAGTGCTTGGCTGTACTTCAAGCTGCCACACTGTAAAATCTCAGAGCACACTTTCAAGATGGCTTCAAGTTCTGGTTCCCTATATGGTAACCCTAATTAACCTGTGTTCTCAACTAGGCTGAGTGTGCTCTGTGAACATATCAGGCATGGGAGTGGCATGGACGCTGAGAATTAATTTACACTTGAATGTGGGTGTCGCCTATGCTAATTCCAGCCATGGAATATAGAGCTACACAGGCCCCCCAGACTGGCCCTGGGTGAGCTCTGCCGGTGCCCCTGCCTTTACTCCCCAGAACATTTGCTACTGGGAGGGCCACAGAGTGACCGCAGGGGAGGAAGAAGGCATTTCCCAGAACACACTGTTTCCCTCCTCCTCCTGATCTGCCAAGTTACCACCTTCACTCGGGTAGGAAGCGCATTTGCCCACAGGAGAGAGCTATTAGATATGCTTGCTGGACTGTTCGTAAAAGCCCATACTCACCGGGGTTGTAGATATACACCGGTTCAATATATTCTGAAATACAAACGTGTTCATCCATGTTACTGTGCCCAGATGCCATCCAAGGTCAGCCTGTTTTAAATACTAATAATAAGGACTCGAGCTGCCCTACATAGTTACAAGAAACATGAAATTCAAAGACATGGAGATATTGGGTTTCTTTTTTTTTAAAAAAAAAAAAAAGATGTATTTATTATGTATTCAGTGTTCTGCCTGCATATATCCCTGCAGGCCAGAAGAGGGCACCAAATCTCATTACAGATGGTTGTGAGCACACGTGGTTGCTGGGAATTGAACTCAGGACCTTTGGAAGAGCAGGCAAAGCTCTTAACCACTGAGCCATCTCTCCAGCCCCAGGATTTTTTTTTTCTTTAACCCAGAGAAGAATGCATAGAAAAGCTAGCCAGGAAGACAGCTAGAAACAGACTCTTGTTTTCAGGCATTTAAGGGAGGAAATCTTCCAAACGGTTCCCTGATAGCTTGTGTTAGTTGAAGGCATTCTTCACTCTGACAGCATTGTGGGCCCCGGAGGTCAGTTTCCCGGGTGTTCCTCCTCCACCCTCCCACTAGACGTTACATTGTCCCACTCCCCCCTCCCCCCGTATGCTCAAACCACCCATCGGGTCCCACCAGGCCTTCTTTCTCTTTTACGCCACACTCTCTTCTCTCCCAAATGTTATTTCCTGAGATGCCAACACAGGCATTTAAAGTCTGGCTCTCTGCACGTGAGCCGTGTGGGAAATGGCTGAAGCTACAAGGGCCTCACCAGTCTCAGTCTGGAAGTTCCTGTAAGACGGACGTGAGAGTGGCTTGGACCCAGCCTGCCCTGGACAAGAAGTGTTTGAGAGAACAGCCATAGGCGAAGACCAGGACAGGCAGGGGCAGCCCTCCCCAGGAAAGTAGCAATGACAGTGTGTGTCTTTAACCACTCCGCCTACCCCAGACTGACTCACTTTGCAAAGGGCCCTGTGTAGATTGTTCTGTGATTCCCCTTTGGCCAGCACTGTCAATTCTCAAGAAAACTACCTTTAAATGGCCTCGCCTTGCTGTAAAGTCCCTTCCAATACTTGATATGGGCCTCAAAATAACTGTTTGCCCCATTTCTCAGGGTGCTGACCTTTGTGCATAAACCTGGTTTTCTTCCCATTTACTCCCAATTCCTGAACGTTGGTTTCTGGGTGGACAGAGAATGGATTTAGAGCCACTAACAAAAGCACACTTTAGCCTTGATGATGGCTGACAGTGTGACGTGGGGTGTTGGTGGCAATACTGGCGGTTGACCCATACTTGTGAGGGGAAAAAAATTAACAAAATTCCCACGACAGAGACGATCATTTAAACATGTCTTACCTGAGTTTTTAACACACTTTTCATTTTTTAGACCTGAAACACAAAGATAAAAAAATTTAGACATAACCTACCCTAGTAAGTTTCAAATGATCTGTGGCTATCAGCGATCTAATCTGTAAATGCCTAGCTTATCAGAGCCATACTTTAGTGGGGAGGCAACATTTCAGAAATACAGGTTTTCATATTTACAGACCAGGCGTGAACCAATGGTGTGAACTTTGACAGAACGCATACCTTCTGGATGTTCAATTTTACTAACAACTTACACAGTGACCATTGGTTGAGGCCCTTACAGGACTGCCATTTTACATTCTAGTCTATATCTGTGGTGAGTTACCAATGTCAGAGAAATGTACTTCTCTCTGCAGATAACAAGCAGTACCCAGTCTTGTGCGTGACAATTCCTACCCTTACAAGAGCTAGCTCAAACATATTTTCAAGATCTTTTAACAGTGAGCAGAGATTCTCAGCTTCATATCAAAAGATAGTTGTCAGTCTCCCAAACACACTTGTGTATGTGAAAACATCTCCGCTCCTAGGAGGATAGGAGCCTGGCATCTAACATGGTGCTGATGGCTCTAGACACTCACTGGTGATGCCATGGCAATGCCACCAATGCTCCGGGGCTTCCTCTAGGCGAGAGTCAGGACTCTGCCTGTCTGCCTAAGAGTGGGTCAGCGAGAAAAGAGAAGATTTCAGTGTAGGGCATGGAAGGCTACCCAGGTGCCCCATTAACACAGGTCTGTGTAAGCCACGGGGACTGCCCAGGTGCCCTATGAACACGTGTCTGTGTAAGCCACGGGGGCTACCCAGGTGCCCTGTAAACACAGGTGTGTGAGCCACAGGGGACTGCCCAGGTGCCCCATGGAGGTCTGAATGCCTTGGTCTCTCTGTATCTGATTCACTGACTTAATGTTGAGGTCTAGTTGCCCAAGGATAAGCCCCTGAGAGACAAATGTACTTTTCTAATCAAATCCCGTATCAGGTTTTAGAGTTTGAGCCAGAAATCCAGGTAACTTGGTCTCGTTTCCACTTGTCCAGGGAATAATGGGTCTATTAGAACCTGCCTGATGTCCACGCTGGTGCAGTCAACTCCAGTGAACCCAGAACAAGCTGGGAGGCGGGCCTCTGCGCTTGTCTGTGGTGGGCTATCATAACTGTATCAACTGAGGTGGGAAGACCAACCCACTGTGGGTGGCACCACTCCCTGGCTAGGGTCTTGGACTGTGTAAATGGGGGAAAGAACCTAAGAGTAGGAAGCCTTTGTCCTTCTGCTCTCTGAGTACACAAAGTGGCCACCAGCTGCTTCAAGCTCCCGCTGCTCTCACTTCCCCCGTGATGGGGGCAGCCTGGGACTGAGAGCTTAAATAAGCCCCTCCCACTTAACCTGCTTTCATAGGAGTAGCTCACCACAGCCGTGGGGAAAGAATCTCAGCAACACCAAAATGCAAACCACACTGTCTTGTCTAGAACAGAACTGAGGCAAAACTGAAACCAGTTCTGGAGACGCCTGCCCCATCTGGACTGGGGCAGGAGCTGCTGTTGGGCCATGCCTCACCTGGGGTTAGCTGAGACTTTCTAGGCCTATGGGGGGAGCGGGGAGGGGAGGAAACAGGAAAAAGCTGAGGTATGGAAAGGGAGAGAGATTCTCATCGTTACCCACATGGACTTGCCTTACATCTGATTACCTAGTCAGTCTCAACACCGCTGACTAGGTCACACCCCACGCAGAAGCTAACGTATCATGAGCAAGACTATAAGGACAGCTGGGTGGTCTGACACACGCCTCACAGGGTAAAGTACTTGGTGAGAGGCCTGAGAGCATCTCTGGAACCCAGGTAACGATGGAAGAGAGGCCACTCTGGAAGCTGTCTTCTGGCCTCTTTGGCAAAGCTGAGACATTCGTGTCTCCCAATCATACAAGGCACAACAGTTATTAAAAGATGCCTGATGATCATGCTCATGACAAAAACACCTTTGTATGACCGATGCACCATCTTTTTAATAATTACTCCAATGTTGGGCACATCTGATCTGTCTGATACTACTTAAACAATAAAACTCCCAGGTACTCTTTTCAGCCAAGGGGTCCTTGTGAATAAACATGAGGAATGAAGGGGCACTACAGCCTGAGGATCCCTGAGATGTCAGACATTGTACCGTCCTTACCCCCATACTTCACCCACTACAAAGCCTGACATCTTAAAAAAAAAAAAAAAAAAAAAGGAAGAAAGAAAGAAAGAAAGAAAGAAAGAAAGAAAGAAAGAAAAGCACAGTTTGATGATAAAGCAGCCAGTCTTCAGGGTGAGCAGAACTAATCCTGCAGCCATGTGTCGCAATGGTATTGTTCTTTGCCTTAGCGTGTGCTGGATGGGACTACAAATGTCACGTGATCCTGGAAAAGACTACACCATGAAATGGACATACAGACTCGTCTGGCAGTCAGTCTACGGAGACACTCAGAACTGCATCCTGAAGAGAGATCCACATGCAGTGTCTCTTATGAGCGCATGCAGCAGACACATGCGAGCTCAGTGGGTATGCATGACCGCATCTGACAAACTCGCTCGGAGACTGACAAAGCACACCAGCTGTGGGCAACATGGTCTCTCCTGTGGCTGCTGGATCTACAGGCAAATCTTCTAAGGGAGGGGCCCATTTGTGAAGGACCATGCTGCCAAATGAAACTTCCTCCTCGTGTCACCCCCTGGCTGGATCTGGGTACACACATGTAACCCCAGGTGAAGAAAAACGCCTTCTCCCTCTTCACACAATGAGACTGTTATTCCTTGGAAACTACAGCTCCCAGACTTCTCCTGGATTACCATCACCTGTGTGCGTGCTGGCCACGCCCAGGTGAAGGCCATTCCTCCCAGATAACCTTGCGCCCCCCGTTAAAAGCGAAGGTCCACGAGGTTTCCCCCCTCTTGGCCCCCCTCTTGACCCTTTTCCCCCCTACCCTTGTGTGTCGCACGTCCCACCCCTTACTGTGTTCCCCTCTCCCCATTAAAACACACCCACGTGGGAGCCGCGTGTCCGTCTCTTCCTTTGCGTCCGTCTATCCCGTGTTTGTCCACACACCCACGCCGCCCCGCC